ATTCAAATGCCTGATCTTTGTCTCTGGCCTCCAGTCTCCACACGATGCCGATATCCGGACGCGCCTCCTGTCCAAGCTACAACAGGATGGATCAGTCACACTCCAGAACCTGGCCGAGGAGTGTCAAACGCTGCTCAACCTGAAGCACGATTCTGCCATGATCCAGAACGCCGCCGCACCTGGTATGGTCCAGGCAGTCACAGCACCGAGGGCGCAATCGTCCGCGCGCCCCACCCAATCCGACCGAGCGAAGTCCCCACCCTACGCGTGCCGATTCTGTGGTGCCTGGCACTTCCACCGGGACTGCAATTTCCGCCAGCATCGTTGTCAACGTTGTGGCAGGGTGGGGCACCGGGATGGTTACTGCCATCCTCCATCTCCCAAGTGGGCCAAAACTGGGCTGGCCCCCACCCGCGATCCAAAGAAGAGGTCCCGACCCAGACGCACACCCAAACCTGGTCCGGTTGGCAGCTCCCTGAGCCTGCTGGCCACGTTCCAAATCAACGCTGCGGATCGGAGAAAGTTCGTCGACGTCTTGATCAATGGTCAGTCGGTCCGATTGCAGTTGGACACTGCGTCGGACATCACAATCATCTCCGAGGATCTCTGGCGATCCCTTGGCAAGCCACCTTTCGAACCGACCTCCCAATCTGCCACCAGCGCCTGTGGTGGCCGCGTGCAGCTAACTGGGCAGCTGCACTGCTCCGTCTCCTTCCGAGACGTCACGTTCAACGCGAACTGCTACATCACAAAGGCGAAGCTCAACGTGCTTGGTCTCGACTGGCTCGAAACCCTTGGCTTGGCCGATCTTCCTCTTCGGGCCATCTGCAACGTGGTACATTCCCCGACAGTACCAAACGACCGAACCGACGACGAAGCCAGTCAATCCGACCCCGTGTCCCAGGATTGTCAACAAGCCTCAAAGATGCCACCACACCAATCACCAGTTCCTTGGCATCTGCCAGCAAAACCGTGGTCTCGAGTGCACATCGATTACGTTGGTCCCATCGATGGCATTTCCTATCTGGTCGTGGTCGACGCCTATTCCAAATGGCCAGAAGTGGTCGCCGTCAACCCACCAACCGCATCCGCCACTCTGGCTTGTCTCCAACGAATCTTCAGTCAACATGGCCTTCCCGAGGTCTTGGTGTCCGACAATGGTACCCAGTTTACGTCTTCCATCTTCGAAGACTTTTGCCGCCGACACTGCATCGAACACCTCCGCTCACCGCCTTACCATCCCCAATCCAATGGTCAAGCGGAGCGATTTGTCGACACATTCAAGAGGGCGCTTTGAAATCTCGCGGGGAGGGGACCGTGGATGAGTGTCTTCAAGCCTTCCTGCTCTCATACCGGTCCACACCGAATCCAGCTACGCCAGGAGGCCAGTCACCATCTGAAGCATTGATGGGCCGCAAGCTACGCACAATCAACGAAGCGCTCATCCCAACTGAGAAGCCACCTAGTCACTCTGGTGCCTACATCAAGCATAAAGAATTCGTCGTCGGAGCCCCAGTCTACGCTCGCGATTATCGAGCCGGTCGTCCTCGCTGGATCAAAGCAACAGTGACAGCCAGGCGAGGTGACATGCTGCATGATGTCTCCGTGGGTGATGACACCTGGGTTCGCCATCGCAATCAACTTCGTCCGCGCCACGGAGAAACCTCCACGCCAGCCAGCCATCCCGTGCACCTGCCGCTGCACATCTTGCTGGATACCTTTGGAATGGCTCCACAACGGGAGACCACGGTCGAAGCCGCTCAATCGACGCCGCGTCTCGAAAACCCACCTTGCCGACGAACAGAAAGAATCCGGAGGTCACCGAAATCCCTCCAGGTCAATCCTTGCCAGAAGCGGTACGCGTTCTCTTCAAAGGGAGGTGTTGCGGGCACGTCAAATATTCCCGCAAAAACGCGCCAGAAACCCCAGCAGAATGGCTGTGGAAAGCGAGGGCCAATTCCTCCCCACAACGCAGCAGAGCTCAGCCACTCCGAGACGCGGCCCCAACTGCACACCTTTTGACAATGCTCATTTGCAAACTATCACCTCTGCGTGGTGACTGCTTTCCCTAACTTAATAACCTATAGCACTATCCGTGATTGCCCTTTGTTGGTCGTAAAAGAGCCTACAGAGGACCACTTGTCTTTTCTTTCTCTTCGCCTCAGTTGGGAGTCGGTCGGGTCGCGTGATTGCGTGCGAGTCGTTAACTGGCCAGCCCTCGCGTCTAAGTCATTAGCGCGCGTCTATCATACCCCCTCTCGTGTGCGTCCGTTTTCGAGGCCTCAGCGTCTATACGAACAAGTGCGGCTAAGATCGTTCCCACGCTCGTTCAATTTTCCGTCTCACCGGCTAAGCCAGCGTCATCAGGACAGCGCAATTCCGTTCGAGTGGTCAGCGTAGCAAGCAATTATCGTAGGCGTGCCAGCGACCCTCTTATCAGGCAATTACGCAATTATCTCAAGAGGCGGCGTTCCCTCAAGCTATAACAGAAGCTTTATGCCTTTCAGCCTTGACAGACGAGACAGTATGAGCTGCGGCATATTGGGATTTGCAAAGATGATTCTCAGAGGTCGACATGACTGGTTGGTCTTCTGACCAAGTCGAGACCCGTACCGCTTCCAGTGCAACCAGCTGAACTTCATCAAACAACACGGCCGACACGAAGCTTGATTGAGCATGCTAGATGGAAAGTTTAAAAGTCGATTAAGATCGACTGCAGTTACTTCAACCCGAAGTCGGGCTGAAGCAAATGTCGTAAGTTGAACACATTATGTTAATGCGTTGAGTCATCAGTAGATCTACCCATACATATTTATTCACAGTCTGTTAACATATATTGTGCCATCAGAACCACGGCAGAAGCAAAAAGTGAAGAAGATGGGAACACTAATGCGATTAAAAAATATGGGAAACGATTTTTTGGTTTTACACACGCCATTTTGTATTTTTTGTTTTGTGAGTTTTGTGTGCATCAAAGGGATGGTGAAATTGCGGAACAACATTGCCGCCACTGATGTCTGTTGCGGGCCATGACGTCCAATGTTTCCAACCACTGCAATTCAGCATCTCGTGGTCCCCAACCTGGAAGGCGGACTGATCCGACTGCCGCCAAACTTGAGGTCGCCTACTTCATACTCCTTCTCCACGTCATCGGCTGTTCACCGCGGCACTTCTTCCAATCGCTCCCTGGGAGTGCAAATAGCGCTCGACGTGGATGGCGATGGGCTGGCATGCGCAGAAGATGCCCGAGCCAGCGCATGCGATGTCGGAGAATAACGTCCCAAGCACGCGGTCTCTCACCTCTGCGTTCCTTACGTGGTGTTGCCACCACACGCTAGCAATCCTTCGCAGACAGCGATTATCAAAGACTGATAGCCGCTTCATATCTTCCGAGCGAATAGGCCGTCTCACAGCCGTACAAGAGTACTGCAAGGACGGAAGCATTGTACACCCTGCCCTTGAGCTTGAGACTGACATCACGACGACGCCATAGATGTCTCAGTTTGATGAATGCAAGGCGGGCCTTTGCAATCCGTTGTGAGACTTCATCTCCATATACTCGTGTGAATCAGACCGAGCGATTCGTGAGCACGTGGAGGTCGGACATAAGTGCTAGCACGTACTGGAGTCTAGGCCTTCACCTAGGCGACCACTTCTTAGATCAGTTGATTTGCTCAGTGCTTGAGTTCGGTAGTGTGACATACATGTCACGCATCCGTAATGCCACAAGAATGCAGATACGATTGTGTAGTGATAAGTGGGGCAGTGAGTGTGGAGGAGGTATCCATCGCACAGAGTGAAGAGTCTGGCAGACTCCGACTACCAAAAGAACAATGATGTTTTGCTAAACCGTGACACTTAGGTTGCAACCACGCATGTTATTTGGTGATACCTCAATGGCAACACCCAAAACCCAGAGGGAGTACTGCTTGTACGAAGTCACAGGAGCTGGAGTGTTCTGCACTTGCAGGAGACATGTTTAGTGATTCTGGCCAGGGCACTTCATGTGAGATTATTCGTAATAAATTTCATATCGCGTACTCCGTGCTTTATGCACATACTCACTCCCCTTTCATGATAACGTTTAGGTGCAATAAGAATTAGCATCACAATCAATCTCAGTACTCCATTTATTTCTCATGATATTGTTCCGATCGACGGTAAGTGTCAATTTTGTTGCTTTCCATCGTCGTTTCTCGTTTGACGACACAATCAACTAGGCATCCAAGTCAACTGATCGGTGACTGGTGCCAAATTTCACCATTACCACCTTATCACTGCCGCTGGTGAAGACCGACACGGGTAATGATCCTTAGTGAAAGATGGTCCAAAACCTAAAGTCACCTGAAGTCTTCAGTCAGAAGCAGTCAACTCCCCGCCCACCATGGTAGACCTGAATACAGGGTTATTACATCTAAGGGAAATCCCTTTTCTTCCAAGGTTCATACGCGAGGATATAGATTTTCATGCGTGGACTAACCACAGCGAATGCTGATTCCCGCACTGGTGTCAATTTTGCGGCTGCATACGCACCGCACGACCCGTCCCATCAGCAGTGCAGAAGGCTGTCGAACACAGTTCGGCCAGGGAACAAGTCGGACGCTAGTGTACTTTCCCCTACTTTCAGCTTGCAGTTATTCGGCCTGACGACTTCATTGTTTTCGCGAGTATCGCTTTGATTTCCATTTGCATCCTATTCATTGTGCTGTTTCCTTGACCCTAATATTTGTCAGCATGGCTATGTGAACTTTGGCACTAATAGTATCCCTGAAAACCACCGTGAACTGAGCCGATTCAAAGGGGAACATAAAATTCGCTTGTTGAATGTGTCCGAAATGAGCCAGAGTAGTGTTTCTTAGGATACCCGTAAACGAGACCGGATAAGACGGACAGGAAAGCAGACCCATCCCAATTTGTTACCTAGTCAAGTGAAACGGAGTGATGAAATAAACGGAATACTAGTGCCGGTGTGGAGGACAATTAGTGGAACATGTACTCACGGGAGCCCATTCTTTCCGCATTTTATCCAGCGCTTTTTCCAAACTGTGTTCCTTGGTGGCTGCCTCAGAAATGGCATCGAATTTGGAAATATGTGGCTCCAGATTCATGTCAACCAGCTTAGCCAAACACATTCCTTCCTCATTTCGCAGTGTGTAGCCGACAATCTCTGAGATTTGTGCCCAGTGGCGTTCACGTAGGCCGGGATTAAACAGTGTACGTATCAGAGGTAGGTGTTCTTTGAACTCCTCCACTTTGCCGCGAACTTTGGAAGCGATCTTCCGCGGAGCTGGAAGGGTATCAAATGACTTCTCCAGTTTGTACAGCGTCCTGTACTGGTTGGAAATCTCCAATTCCACTTGCTCTGGATCCACCTTGTCCATCGGCCCGTCCATCCAATCGCGATACTTTGTATTGAATTCGACACAAATTTCGTATAACTTGAGAAACGGTTTTAGTGTGCTCTGCACTTCACTACGCAGTGGATATACTGTTGTATCCCATTTCAACGCTTCCTCGTCAGAATTGAACGCATCAATTTTGAGTGTTGCTTGTTCCAATTTCGCATCCAGAGCTTGTGCTTTTTTCAGATAACGAGTAATCTCGTTGAGATCACCCAAAGCTTGGAATTCGTCCACCTGTCGTCTGTATGACTCTAACTCCTCCAAGAAGCGCTCTCTTCTGTACCGTAGCCCAATCTCAAACTCCTCCCGTTTGATGTGTGCGGTTCGTCGGTTTTCTTCGAACACATCCTCCATACGCATATGCCATTCAAACACTTGGCTATTTATGCGCATATCGGACGGATTGAGTTGAGCATGGTCCATCAAGAACAACAGACGATCTCTGGACTGATCTAGTTTGCGTTCCAACTCGTGCATTGTCACCTTCTCAGTGTGATTGACAAACTCGGTCAGCTGCATCATGTGCGAGATGTCAGTGGGGATGGTCAAGGCTTTGGCCGCAATCGATTCGTATTCCTTAATTAATCTGTCAATGAGAAAAGTGGAAGTAAACATGGATGAATGCGATTAGTACGAGGGTCAGCTGGCTTCGGGGCGTGTCACAAAGGTTTGCGGCCAGAAAATGCTAGAGTATGCGGGCAATCCTAGTTGATTTTGTGTCTAAAAAACAAACCTTACTGATTGGTGTGGTTTACGCCTTTGTCCAGCTGCAATAGAGTTATAAACCACTCTGGTCGACGAAGATCAGATTTTGCTCTACAGGATTTGTTAGTCCCTTAACCTTTGTACTGCAATACGTATGGATTTACTGATCCACTTCATAAACACTTAACAACGCAGGAAGTGGTGGGTACACTGTTTATGGGATTAATGTAGCCACATGCGAGGGATAGGGAAAGAACTGAAACAGGTCTCGCTTTTCCGTTATTCGTCGCAAAATATCGCAATGACTTACGCGCGGTTTGTGCAACGATGATCTTCCAATATCCTATCAAGGAGCCGATCACCGATCGCTTCCGCGCGTTTTGCCAACGCTCGTATCAAGTCGTCACAGTGAATTTCAAATAGGCCAAGTTTTATGACTCTACGTGATTCATATTGTATACGTTTCCTCAGCTTGGTATACTTGGTAAGTTCCCGGGCAAGCTCTTCGAAGCTAGGGCCCACTGGTTCGAATTCTTTGTTCTCTTGTGCTTGCGACACGATCGCATCCTCCGATCCCTCGGTCGCATCATCCTCATCTGATGTCTGTCTAACTGGGACCACCACTTGTTCCGGATGCTTGGGACTCAATAAAGCCTCGACATCCCGCTCGGCCTAAGAAGGTACAAAAGAGTGATCTGTACAAAAAAGACACGAAATGATACAGGTGGAAACAATAACCTTTTTGTTGATAATACGGTGTCGCTCACATTGTACCAACGAGAAAGCAGCAGACATAAGTGAGTTAGTGTTATCACGAGGCGCGGATGGGCGGTAGCTTACTCAAAACTCGCACGAGGTGATGACTGTGAAAACGGTACTCAAGCAAAGTTTAATTATGCAGTTAGACCCAAGTACATTGGTGATTTAGACCACTCGATAATCGAAGTCAGCTACTGCGGTTAAATAAAATCAGATCGGAATCACAGCTTGCGTTGATTCAACCGCCCCGATTCGCTAGTGATTATGCATATTGTTCTATTTCTATTTGAGGCGCGTAAGGGAACGCATTGTCACTTGGTGGTGCGCCTTCGATTGGTGTTCATGTGAGGACAACGGTGGCGTTACCACATAAGAACCTCGCACACAAGCGGTAACCGGCTTAGTAGATTGGAGTAATACCAACAAGACATGATTGCCTTGATCACAACCACTGTACGAAAATATGGGGTCCAGCGCCGTTTGGCACCACTCAGCAGCTATCTCCTCAGTAAGTTGGAATGTCCCTGGGTCCAGAGCAGGGGAAGCGGAGTTGGTGACACGACTTGAAGATGCAACAGTGGTTTCATAAAAATCTCTCTCACACCCCTACTCTGGATGTTGACTAATACTGGTAAAGTCTACAACCAACCGTGCTGTCCGCCGGTTTGTCCAGCTGCTGTCTCGCCCACTGCATAGCAAAAGGCTGGATATCGACAAGGATTCTCAGAACCGTTATATCCTCGACGCACTGTGCCAGTGGATGCGGAACCCAACGAACTTCGGCGTTTTCTCTTTCGACACTTAAAGGAAGGCCTTCGATCTAACCGTGAATATATATATATATATATATATATATATATATATTTGTTCGTCGCAATCAGCCGACAATTCAGATAAGTCCACTACCTATCCGGAAAAGCACCAGACGGCCGTTTCGCCCTATTGGGGCTCGTCAGTGGTGCGCATCCTTCGGTCCTCTACGGAGGATCGAACCCATGACTGCTAGTGGCGTGTGCCAACTAGCCCGTTGCTTTATGCAACTTAGCCATGGAGGACGGTAGCCGACCATCACGAATTGTAAGCTAACTGCGATATAGCCCGACCCATCCTCCACTGCCATGCAGGCACCTGTCATGCAGATGACAGCGGTTGGCCTTCCGACCTCAGGACCTCCCGGCTACGACAGTTATGAATCAACATAGCATTTATAGAATCCGCAAGGGCGAATTTATACTACTTATGAGTCGGCTGATTGCGACGAACAAAAATACTCGCCAAAATCCTTCTACTCATAAGTGATATATATATATATATATATATATATATATATATTCAAAGGGTCAAGAAGTGGACATGAAGCTATCGGAACAACCATGTGAATCAAAGGGAAGTGCAGTCTGGACAAAAATAGAACGAAATATTCTTTTGTACTTCACACGTCGACTTTTTGCTAGTTTCAATGCCTGAGGCGTTAAACATGTGAATAAATACAATTCTGCTACAGTTCTTTCACTAATTTCGGTTGAGGGCCGCGTCTACAAACGTTTCAATCAACCGGCCCTCCTCGTCCTTGGGTCCCCATTCAGGAAGACACACAGGTCCAACGGCGGCTGTATCGGCTGTAACTTCCGCAATTTATTTTGCCTCATCAAGGCCATCGGTAGCAATTCACACGATATAAGTCAGACAATCTCTGAGTAAGCATGCACCAAAGTCACCAACCTAGACACGCGTTTGCGCCACAGGGTAGATCATATTGCTCTCCAATTTACCTACCCAGTACAGCCCCCTGTGATATCCCGTTTTCTTCGTATGGTGCTTGGCCTGTTCGCACCGATTTTCCTATCGAAGCAGAGATCCGAAGTACAATCCAATAATTGAAGCATCTTAAAGCAAAGCAACTATCTTGTTGGTATCCATGTAGTCAGCCGAGGTCAAGTTCTGCCCTAGCAGAACCCATACTGGTAACGCGCCCCCCAGGTCTGGTCGTACCGAGTCCCTTCGAGTAGTACTCAACAATTTGCGCAGTCTAAGAAACAAGGTGCACGAAGTGAGTCTACTTGTATACAAACCTCGTCTAGACATACTCGCTTTCACTGAAACATTGTTGTCTCTGGATATCACGGTCGGTGAACTATACTTACCTCGCTATGCACTGCTTAGAAGCGATCGTTCCGCTGGCCATCAAGGCTAGGGCGTCACTCTTTATGCGAGCTGTAAACTGGGTGTGCTGAAGATCTGCGTCTTTCAGTCGCCAGACCAAACTTTTGAAGCCCTATCGCCTGTGGTGTGCACCAGCTCCGCTCAGTTTATAGCTGTAATGGTTTATCGAAGTACTGGAAGTACCTCCAAGGAGGGTATAGAGTGTATTCGTACACAGACTGCCAATAGGTGTTTAGTACTGGGGGAATTCGAACTTCCTGTGGTCTGTTGCGCTGATCTATCGTGCAGTTAGCTGAGGAGCACCTTTAGTTCGGATCTCCTCGAGCGAAAGTTACAGCTGCCACCGCATCAGTTCGTGGACTTTCCCACGAGGTACGTGTGCAACCAGTTGCCGTCCGCCTTGGGTGTTGTTTTTACGAAGTCACACGATCTTCTAAATGATATTACGTACGGTTCAACCCTAGGGGGAAGCGACCGTATGCAAATCCTAGGTATCATCCCGCGACCGCTGATGTATGCCCAAACATTTGGCGGGCGGGCTTGAACACAATGCGAGCCAAAACCTCAGTTCTACATTATGGGATCTTCGTGACCGACACTGTTCAGTCAGCTTGGGAGAAGTCTAAAGTATATATCACTGAGGTTCCTGCCCCCCAAATCCCACTCATGAAGAACACAGAGACACGCGCGCATCCTCCGCGGATAGATTTCACGGGTAAATACCTACTCAGAAAACGGCCTACTTAGTGACGAACTTACCAAGCCGCCCCATCAACCAGCACCTACGAAAGCTACAGTGAGGTTAGAAATAAATGTAAGCAACACCTTAACACTGCTCGTCTTAAGTTTGAGAAGGATTTAGCTTACGCAGCCGTGACAAATCCAAAGACGTACTTTGCTCACACAAAGAGGAGCGGAGGTGCAAATTAGTCTATACCAGCTTCACTGCGAGCGGATGGGATAAGTGTGCATACCAACTATGATAAAGCTAGTATATTTAGAGAACAGGATACTGATGTCTTTGCTCGTAAGACCTCTCTACCCTAAAATGAGCTAATCACAAGAGTTTTGGAGTATTCTGTTCAACTGAAATTAGCATAATAAAGACTCAAGTCTTCGGACTATTGTAATGGCTAAATCCTTCCAAAGCTTCTGGCTCTGATTCAATTCATCCGAAGGTAAAACATGAGATAGCCGCCGAACGAAGTAGTCTTCTTACTTGCGTGCTTACACCACTCGACAGCTGTGCCTCAGTTTCGGAATGGAAGTGGACAATCACCCATCCGATTTCTAAAGGCAGTGACAGTACTCATCCCGCGAATTACCGGCCTGTCAGCTTGACAAGCGCAGTAGTCAAGTTGTTTGAAAAACTGGTGAGGGATTTGGTGGAGAACCACCGAAATAAATGTAACCTCAATGTTGCACTACACGGGTTCCGTGAGGGATTTTCGTGTCCGACAAATTTACTTGTAGTTTGTGAAAGCTGGACTGAGACAGTGGCAGTGGCCACGCTATGGACTTGCTTTTCGTCGACTTTTCGAATGCCTCTGATGCTGTCCCCATCTACAACTTCCAATAAAGTTGAAATCGTATGAGGTATCTGGTGGCGCCTGTAAATGGGTATCTGCCTTCCCAGAGCGAAAGAACAGTGTGTACCCGTGGGGCGTAGCCTTTCGCTTAGGCAAGCTGTTCTTAGTGGCGTTCTTCAGTGCACAGTTTTAGGGTCGACGCTTTCCTTACTTTATGTCAATGACTTACCCAAGGAGTTCGAGGTACTATCACTGCTATTTGCTGATGACCTCAAGCTCCGGAATATTGCGGTTACTCCTGTGAGTTCTGAGACAGTTCAGGGTGCATTGGATAGGCTCTTGAACTGGTCAACCTATGGTTGGCGCTCATTAATCAAGAGAATTGTTCTGCCCCCACATCGTAGTGGCTAATCCTCTACCAGCTATGTTGTTGGTGGAAGTGAAACCCTGTTGTCGCTCATCAGGCTGATCTAGGTATCGTCTACACTTCAGCTCTTAAATCTAGGAACAATCAGAAGAACGCTGCTTGTAGATGGTTCTGTATGATGTTGTTTATCCGCCTCTTCTTCAGAGTCCGATGTTTTTGTGAAGCTTTTCTCAGATTTGTGCTACCTCACTTACAATACTGTATCCATGTTTGTCCAGCATGTCTTGTAGGGGACAAAATGGAACTGGAGGTGGTTTTCCTAGTGGGTACAAGGTTAGTGCAGGTTAGTGCAAACGTGGCCTGAACGATTGATTGACTTGGGAATGTACACTACCGGATAATTACTAGGCACTTGATCCTCAGTTACCGTATTTTAACGCATAAGACCGATCCATACTTTCCCTGACAATTGAATCCTGCTAAGTTGCCTAGTCTCGGTGCTCACCCGTTAAAGCTGCGCAAACAACGTTTTGACCGCGTTGGTGAAAAACTCGTTTATCGCGCAGTTATTGGACGCTGGAACTCACCTCCGCAGCCCGTCGTTGGAGGATCTACGGTTCAGAAGTGTGAACGTCAGTTAGATGCATCTGGGTAGCAATACCGAACCAACCCCTTCTTCGAACTATCTTGTAACCAGCTTTAATCTGTTCTTTTTCCCCAGTTCCTCTCATGGCTTGGTAGTATCAGTATTGCTTTCTTAGCTTGCCATGCGCTCTTACATGTTTTACGTAACTGGCCAGGTAGGGACTGCTAGGCAAGGTAAATGGGCAGAAAATGGCTGGTTAATATGTGATGCGGTTTTTGTCCGAGGTACATCAGTATCTTCACTCGCCCCATCAATTCCTGATTCGGGAGTCTCCCGATGTTCCCGTCCCGATTAAACTTGTAATTGGGCAAACATCCCCTGCCTTCAAAATGTTCTTCTCCGGCACCACATTCACTGGCTTGGCCACATATTGTGGATGCCAGGCTGTCACCTCCACGTCGAGCATTATCTGCGCACTCCGGAAGCGATTGGAAGAAATGCCGCAGTGGGATAAGTCGGAACGGTCAACAATCAAGGCTCTTGACCACACGACACTGACTCCCAGTGGTTGGAAGCGTTCGATATTACGGCCCGCAATAGAGATCAGCGGGGTCATTGTTGTTCTGCTGCATCTAATGATTAATGTCTAATCAAAAGCAAAAGCCCCAAAACAAGGAATCTCAAAATGGTGTATGTAAAGGTCAAAACATTCGTTTCCCTTTGCCAACGCATTTCTCATTCCTTCTGTTATGGTTTTGATGACACATTGCCTCTCTCTCTCGCTCTATATATATATATATATATATATATATATATATATATATATATATATATATATATATATCTGTGTCCCATGCTGAGGCTGATGTTGCATTATTGATGCTTCTTCACCGCAGTTGGGCTAAACCAACTTACACTTCAACTAGGTCTCTTTTTAAGCTGGATAAATTTCATTCCACTTTATTTGCTTTGTTCCGCCTACCTGAATAATCCTCTATTAACTGGCCACGTTGCTTTCGCAAATTGCGCTTACCTTCGGTAACTTCGTTGCGCTTTTAACATTTTTAAATAACCTGTGGACATTTCTTACTTATCGCGGATTCATTGCTAACCAACTTACTTCATATGCTAATTTAGCGAAGAGTTATGCCACCGCCTCTGTTTGCATTATTGGATTTAGTTTATTTCATCTTGTCGTTTCAAGTGAATGGCTGTTGCTTGACATCCCCGGTGTGGCTGCGCTTGATGTGCATGTTGACAAGGTGCCTGCCTGTCTATTACCCACTACCTCGTCCATACTGGCTCCAGGAGACAGTTCGTCGTTGCTGGAGGGGACGGGGTGCACGGTCCTTGTGGCCGTGCTAGTCTCAAAGAGTATTCCCATGCAATCAGTGTGGAGCGGACTACGGTCCAGCCACCGCCTTGTGTGCGCTTGATTCCCCAAATACAGCGTGCTTGTTTTGGCTTCTGAAGGAGTGTGGGCCGGCTCCATAGATGGAACGTGGCTCCTATCCACATGCCTCCCATCCACATGCCTCCCGGTCTTATTCCCTCGGGTTTACACTGGATATGGGGTGTGTGGTTGGAGCTGTGGGTGGTGTAGCGCAAGCCACCCATAGTCCCTCTGTAGGCGCAGGCGTGCTGTGGCTTGCCACAGTGACAGGCAAATCCGAAGCCGGATGTCGCCAACCATACATACATATCTGGTTGCGGGGCGGCATATGGTTTCGGATTTGCCTGGCACTGTGGCCAGCCACAGCACGCCTGCGCCTACAAAGGGACCATAGTTGGCTTGCGCTGCACCACCCACAGCTCCAACCACATACCCCATATCCAGTGTAAACCCGAAGGAATAAGACCGGGAAGCATGCGGATGGGAACCACGTTTCATCAACGGAGCCGGTCCACACTCCTTCACAGGCAAACACAAACACGCTGTATTTTGGGAAATTAAGCGCACACAAGGCGGTGGCTGGACCGTAGTCCGCTCCACACTGATTGCATGGGACTACTCTTTGAGACTAGCACGGCCACAAGGACCGTGCACCCCGTCCTCTCCAGCAACGACCAACTGTCTCCTGGAGCCAGTATGGACGAGGTAGTGGGTAATAGACAGGTAGGCACCTTGTCAACATGCACATCAAGCGCAGCCACACCGGGGATATAAATCAACAAGCAATCACTTAAAATTATCAAATAAAATATATAACAGTCAAAGCAGACGGCTTTGCAGACATAACTCTTCGCTAACTTAGCATATGAACTAAGTTGGTTAGCAATGAAACCGCGATAAGTAAAAAAGGTCCACAAGTTATTCAAAAAATTGCTACAAACGCAATGAGGTTAACGAAGATACTCACAATTAGCGTAAGCATCGTGTGCAAGGTAACAAATTATTCGGATGGACAGAACAAACCAAATAAAGAGGAATGAAATTTATCTAGCTTAAAAAGACCTAGTTTAACTGTAAGTTGGTATAACCCAAATGCGGTGAAGGAGCATCATGAATGTAACATCAGTCTCAGTATGGGGCATACATAAATGGTTGGTGGCATCCGGTTTCGGATCATAAACATATATATATATATATATATATATATATATATATATATATATATATATATATATATATATATATATATATATATATATATATATATATATCCGAGTGACACAATGTTCCCAGACTCACCTGTCGGCTAACCAGCATTTGATACTTGTCATACTCCCGTGTGTGAGATACTGGTCCTTTGGATTCCCAACGCAGCATTTTTCGTACGCTGTTCTTGTATTCGTCCAAAATTTCCTCCAAAATCACAGGATGCAACTTTGCACTATCGTCCGCGGTGGTTTGCTGTTTTGTTGGAAAAAAGTGGTAAGCACCTTTTTCAACCCGATGGCAGCGATGAGTTAGATAAAGTTCATTGAGAAAAACCAGGACCACACAAATTAACTTCATTCTACTCCTTATGAGCATTTAGCCAGGGTCATGATATGGCTAAGCCGGATTTCGTAAGGGGACTACAAGTTTATGGTAGCAATTCCATCACTGTATCAGACCTGCGATCAACGAGCGCGGTATAACCCCAAGTAAGCGGCGTTTGATGGGAGTATGGACGTTTGGGGATGGAACCGATCGCACTCTATCGGCGACCGCCGTACTTCAAGGATGGTACTTCTTGATCAAGGTTGCGATATTGGACCACATGCTAAACTCCAGTGCCACTGAGGATTACTACAAACGGAGTTGTCAAGGATTCGGACCCTTCGTTTAGCAGGAATGATGCGTTTCCCTAACAAGCCATAGGTGGACGCAACGGTGGTAGATCTCCCCAACGGACGTCAACCATAATGATCTCACCCTGGAACTTAAACTGACAAACTCTGAAAGCCCATTCCTCGGATCTCTGCTGTGGTTGCAGGGTAGCACAATGCTTCCAGAAGATTAGGTAGCTTAGATCTTGATGAGTTGGTTAGATCACTTGGGTTTCCTTCCCTCCATCTTCACTGAAACAAACAGCCATTGTTAACACTACAAGCTAACAGAGTGATCTGGTATTGTTCAGGCATAAAAAAGGAGTTGATTGACAACTGCCTCTGAATGCTTACTCAATTGCCATTGAGACTTCTTTCGACACTCGCCATTATTTCTGTTTACTGTGTTCGGTTTTTATGCTCTGCAATAACGTCACTTAGCGGTTTGAAGTCTGAACTATATCGAAAAAAGATTGTACTGTTGTAACCAGTTAGACGGGTTCACTATGTTCACAACTTCATTGCGCGAACCGTAAATACTGGGCAGCCACGATCATTCCGTCGGTCACTTGGTTCTCACTCCCCTGCATTGGCATAGTCGTAGGGGCGTTTGGTGAGACCCCTTATGATACAAATGGCCAACATATCATGTCGCACACAGAAATGTTTATGCAACACTAGTCAGACTGCTGACAGTTCACGCAATGCAATGCATGAGGAGTTGGACAGTATAAGTATTAAGCTAACGGTTGGTTGGGATACGCATTCATGCGGGACGAGTACCATTTTTTCCGTTAGAGGTTTACGAGTCGCCGAATTCAACCAGACAGACCAATTTCACGGTAGCGAGTAAACACCACTCGTTTCATTCGTTAGGTTCCAGCCAGTGGGTCTTCAAACACAGCGCAACGGAAAACGTGACATGCTCATTATCAAGGCCTTTAGGGCTTTTTCACACTACACTACACTACGCTGACCCGATTGGTTCAGCGGAACCTTACTCATTCGCTTACTTTCAGTTGAGACCTCGAACATCGTGACACGAAGGGTTCTCGCTGATCTGGAGCAAGGATTTTTACGGCTGTGCTTGTGGAAGGACATGGTATATACAGAGCAAACTCTTTACTCTTTTAAGTTGACAGCAACATTGAGAAAGTATATTACCAACAACAACAATCTCGAGTGCGGTCAAAGACGTCAACAGACATACCCATTCAGAATACAGTCTGGTTTCAATCCTCGGGATGCTCTGTATCACCTTTAACATGTTCTGGAACATGTTGAGTAGCACATTCTCGAACTCTTGAATGGAAGGCTCGAACTTGATGGAGGTCTCGTCCAGTAGCAGACGAATGATGAACCCAGGCATCTCGTGAGCAAACGTATGATCCTTAGGATGTGAAGATACAATGGGTAAAGACAATTTTAACCGTTCGGTTGGGGATAGTGTAAACAAAAACTGGGCAACAGCACTAACTGCAGACGCTTAAACGTGAACGGAAAACTCATCCGCACGACGTACACTTCTCCTGTTAAACATAATGTGTCCTTGATATTGCTTCTCAGGGTGAATTCGTTCTATTAATCGCTGAAAAAGGAAGTAAAGGGGAGAACATAGCCATAAGTGGCCACTGATGCGCTTTTGGCGGTTAGCGACTGGACCAAGAGCCGAACGCAGTCATCGCCCCGAGGAAAGTGTTGCGCAAGGACTTTGTTTGTAATTGCTGCTCCGGTCTGTCACAGCTACCGATCACATGATGGAAGCTATCTGCGAAGGATATGTACTACCTGGAAGTACGGTACCTACAGATGACAAGGCAGCCAGAGACCGGCATCAGTGAAGTGCTTTGTTGATGGTGAAATTCATGATTGAAGCCCATAAAACATTGTCACCGGCAACAACAGCTAAATCTGTGCTACACTGTCAATCTATTAATTAAAACTGCAACTGCATGGTGATACCAATTCGCTATACCTCCGACTTTAGGCAACACAGCTTTCTAAAGACACTCAAGGCAGTTGGTATGCTGCGAACAGTTTCAGGAAAAGTGTGAAATGATCACATATTGCCCAAGTAACTGGCCTCACAAGAACCGCGTTTAGAGCATGTCGCCAGATTTGAACACTAATACGAGAAATTGAAGCTCAACGTGCAACACTAAAACTCGGTTGCTCCCGATCGCGAGGGTTGGCACTGTCGCTTACTAACCAAAGACCGAGTCACTTCACGGCAGAAGGTAAAGCGATACTGACAGACAGGGATATAGACAATCCTCATGTGGCTGATATGAATTCACTGATAGTGCACATAGAGTCGGAAGCTGAAATAATCGGATTGTGGCTCACAGACAAGCCCATCGAGGAATAGTTAGGTAAGCACAGAGTCCCTCTTAGATCTTCAAGTGAGAGCGAAACCAATGTTGTAAAAATGTACATTGTCGCTCCTGCTACTGACTTTAACTGGGGGCAAACGGCAGCTGCCGCCAAGCGGGGTTACATTGACCCAATCTCATTGGTCCATAGCGTCTTCAGGCACGGAAAGATAGTTTTTTATGCATCGTCATAGCTGAAAGGATTATGCGCTCACTGGTCCAACACGGAAAAGCAGAGCTTAGCGTTTTCCCATATGTATGGATATTTCGGTGTTCAACTAGGAGACGGTCAACGACTGGTCAACAATAAGGCGCACATTAAATGGACTTGTAATTACTTATCATTATACCCATGCCCATGATGCTATAGTAGTTCAATCTATCCAGACGCTGGATCATAATTCCTTGCGTCACGCAGCTCCACACACACTTGTACAGTTCAGATTAGTTCGGTTCAAATGATGGAAACAATGGTTTTTCACGGGTAAAAAGCTAATGCTTGAAAGGTCTCATATGATGAAAGGGTGAACAATTCGGAAAGCAAAGTTATATCGACGAAGCAAAGCAAGTGCTGGTGGACTCATAAGGAAATGAAACTGAGCGCGCTGATTGCATGTGTTACATTGATGTCAATGCAAGGAGGGATATTTCACAGTGTGCAAGTGTGGGTGCGTTGTCAGCGGCTGCAGCCCATGTCTCAGCAGCATAAGTCGCTGGTCGTGGGTTATAGCAGACAGGCGGTCGCAGTCTCAGAGGCGAAGGAGTGCAGCAGTAAACCACCGGGCCTGATAAGGAATAAATCAAAAACAATTAGTTGCTCTGAACGTACCGCTTGAGTTTCACTTTGGAAGTAACAATAAATGGGCATTATATATGCACTTAAAAAGAAAAAGGTCTCAGCAGTATGCCGGTACGCAGTACCGACGCTTCACTGCCGCGCAACTACCACCAGTCGCATGTGGGCTAAGGGTACTGCTGGGGTCGCCCGGTCCTTACGCAGGCCCGAACCCGTGCCCTCGGATTACAAGGCAGGCTTGTGATCCTTTAGGCTACGGGTCATCCGGTGTAAGCCTTTATTGGCCTTCATCGATTGCTCTACCTAGCATCAGCCTTTCTTCCCGTTATTGCTCCGCTATTTTCACTTTCAATGGGATTTGTATTCATCAACACAGGGGTGCCGGGCAAGAGGACCCGCTTTCCCTATTGCTCTTCATCACGACTTTGGACGAGGGTTTTCATAAGCCTGCATCATCTCAGTGGTCTTGCCCTGCTGGCCCTATAGACTAATAGGCTTATGCTGATGATGTGATCATCTTTGCTAGGGACCGAACGGCTTTGGTGGATCGTCTCAAAACGCTTCATGAAGTCTTTCTTCTTATTAGTCCATTGACTAGTCAAATGAATTCGGCTACCTTTACGGGCGACGACGACCGTACAAGCAAAACTACTGTCGTCGACACATTCCCACTTTCGTGCTCCTAGAGCACCATTTCTTTGCTTTAACTGGACGAATCATTGAAGTATTTCGCATCCCGTTCGACTAGAAAGGTAAATTGCCGCCTGCATCATGAGAACAAATGCGCTATCAGCTTCAAGAAACGACCCAAGCTCTGCTGAAGCTATACCAGCGATTAGAAACACTTCGCAGCTTCTAACCCCCTCGTCACATTCACATCCTCAATCTGGCGGTAGTACATAGATATACCTTGGAGAATATTGATAAATTAGTCCACTGTGATGCACGAAAATGACTGCGGCTGCCCAAGCACACACCCGTTGTCTACTTTCACTCAGCCCACGAAAGCTTCGGCCTCGGGATACCAGCTGCGTCCCCCATGATTTCCCTTCCTCGGAATTCTCGCTGAAGCGACATTTGTCGGACTCCCATCCTATAAGCAGTTGGGCTATCCGTGATTCTTCCGTAGCTTTTATCCACCGCATTGCCACAGTTGCTGTCTTTGTGTCCGGACAGTCCGTCCTCGACAACATTGCTACAAAGGAGGCTTGGCGAACGGCGTTTTTATCTCATCTCGATGGCTCACAATCCGTGACGTTACAACTGCACCGTCAGCTCACCACTGGCTCAGACAACTGAACAAGGTCTTCTCTCAGCTATTCAGACTTAGGATTTAGCTTCCGGAGTGGGTCTTGTTAACGAAGACACGCAGGACCAGAGTAAGCCCAGATTCCACAACAGACCATCTTCATTACTGTAGAGTTTGTGGTCAGAAGGGGACGCTCTCGCATGTCCTTCAGTCATGTGGAGTCACTCACGGTGATCACGGTATGAAGACATAATGACATCGCAAAACTTCATGCGAATGCAATCCGCCAAAGGAGTGTTCAGGTTCCACCTGAACCCAAAATACCCACTTGTACCAACCACAACCGTCTCGTTGTCAAGGCCGCTACCGCATTTGTTATAGACATTGCTCTCTGTGACGCAGGCCGCACAGAACGAACTTACTAACTATTAGGCGGCCGCAACGAACGAACGCTGTGACACGGTTTGGAGACGCAAGTGGGCCCGCGGCAGGCCAAGCAGTAAGCGGATGAAATCGATTTGCCATCTACCACACAGGTTGCTACGTGGTCCAGGGCAGCTAACAGAGTAAGTTCGTCATGATGAATTGAGTTGCTATGGCGCAGACGTGAGCGGTGCTGTAGCCAAACACTGAAAACTGAGAGCATTTTTATACGTGAATACACCGGTGACGTCGATCAGCCCAGCGACATACAGTCGGAGGTTAGGACGTGTGATGCGTAGGTTTGGTCCTTATCTGTCCTTGATATACTCCGGTCTAGCAAACCCTGTCTTCTATTCGCCCGGTTGGGTCGGACGGCGCACAAGGCAGAGAGCAGAAGCAGGGCAGCGTTACAATACAAAATGAACCCATACCTTTTAACAGTCAATTGAATCCAAAGCGCTTTCAAATGCGTCTACGAATGATCGTCACAGCAGAAGCTATTGCGCTCCGAATATTCCAACCTCCGCTATAAGCACAAAAGAAGTTTGTTCAAGCGCTAACTCTGTCTTGGCCGAACAGAAGTCAAGCTAACCATCACTCTGACACCGGCGTCATCAGTTTGATTACATAACACCTATCGACATGTGTGTGTGTGTGTGCAAGACAGCGACCAACTATCTGCTGTCTAACCATTGACCTACATCTAAACTAATCACCGTGCATTTACCTTCGTATTTTAATCTTATATGATTTGTACCGGCCCGTAGATGAATCACTGAAGACAACTGTTTGCCTCAGACTGGTGTTCTTGACGAATCACTGAGAATGTTTCCTATTTGAATAATAACAATGATGCTGATGATAATAATAATAATACGAATGCGTATATTACTCTTGATGAGCGAAACTGTGTCTATAGCGGCACAGATCAATTTGTACAGAAGTATCCATGCTCTTGCATGGGTGACATACATAGGTGGAGTATTGGGATATGCGTTTCATGTATTAACATTCTGGCGGATGGTTGAGACCAAAGCCTAGTTATGAAAATATTGGTGTTTATATGTTTTTGGGCCCCACTTGGAATAGCTCATCGAGGGATTTTTCCCATGTGAATATAGAGCTTAGAGTAGTTAGATCAAGGTAATTGGCGAGTCTGCTTCTAAATGTTGCCACATTGTCACAAGACCTAAGTGTCATTGGTAGTTTATTCCACAGATAGCTGTATCTGAGCAGGAAGAAATTAGAGCGGACGTTCGTTCTAGCCTTCGGTATATTCAATGTAAAGTCTTTGTTGCGAAGCGCTCGAGTTGAACAATGTTGTAAATTGAGTGTAGGCAGGTTGGAGTAGGTCTCTTTGTGTAACATGTTGAAAAGCAGCAACAAGTTGTGCTTCAATCATCGAATCCAAAGTGGTTCGAGATGAAGTTCATTGCAACGTTCTCGATAACTCACAGCAATCAGATGTTTAGTAAATGACCTCTGCAGATGCTCCACAGCAATTCTGTCACTCTTTCTCATATTTCCGTATATTATGCTGCAGTATTCGAGGATGGAGCGAGTGAGTAGCTTGAAAAGCTCAACTCTAGCACGAGTTGTGTGTATTTTGTTTGATATATTGAACATAGACTGTCTGGCACGTGCTACTTGGTATTGGGCCTGTTCGGAGAAATTGAAGGTAGACGAGTAACTAATTCCAAGGTCTCGCGTGGACAACTGTGTAGGGACACATTCATTGTTTCTGGTGATAGATTCTTCGGGGATGCAGCAGCCGTAAGACATGATGCATGATTTCTTAGCCGAGAGGTTCATCACGCATGTGCAGCCCCAGGACTCAAGGGAATGTAAGTCATCTTGAATGAGCAGTAGTATCACGTGAAGCTCATCATGCCGCAGCTTATAGACGATTTTGATATGGTCAGCAAATAAAAATGATGTACCATGTTTTACAGTTGTGGTGATGTCACCGATGCAGAGAAAAAAGAGTAAGGGACCAAGCACGCTCCCTTGAATGACTCCACTGGTGATTGAGCGTGGGGAAGAGCGATAATCACCTAAAGTGACTACCTGATGATGATCACTCAGGTATGACGACAGCCAACCTAGTAATGAGTCCCGGATCCCAAAGTTCCCCAACTTTTGTAACAGTCGCTTGTGCGGTACTCGGTCAAACGCTTGGTTGTATGTCAAGATGCAGGATTACTACTGCATAGCCGGAATCGATTGATTTTGAAATGTGATTAAGCTAATGCAGTTGACAGGTAGTGCATGAGCGTCTATTAAGAAAACCATGCTGCGAATTATTGATCAGACCAATAGCGTCAACAAAGTTCATCATCTCCTTTCTGACCAGTTTTTCAGATAGCCGAGCGATTATCGGGGTGTGATGGATTGGTCGGTAGCTATCAATCGTTTGTTTGGGACCTCCTTTATGCAGAGGTATAATAAATGACGTTTTCCATTTGCCTGGAAAGTGGCCAGATTCCAGCGATAGAGTGAACATGCTCATCAGTAGCAATGGTATATCGGGTCCTCCTAGTTTAATGGTGGTTGGTGAAATGCCATTAGATACCAGCTTGGAAGATGGCCTGATTGAGTTGATAACTTGATGGATACCGTCGAGCGAGATATCGACTCTACTTAAGAGGTTTGTTACTGTGAGCTCTGTGCACACAGGCATCGGGTCAGCTTCGCGACTCATGATAGTGACAAAAAGTCACTGAATGCTTAATGAAATAAGTGACCCACACCATCAACAATTTCAGTAATCAGAGGAGAGCAGTCATTGGTTCTACGATGCAGTATTTTCTCAAGCTCCCTAGCTTTGCATCTTGTCCGTAGGGCTGTATATTCCACATTTTTTTCGTTGTGTTAATTGCGCATATTTGACTCTGGTGGTAAATTCGTGCATTTGTAAGATAAGTGAAAAGTCATGGGTCTTTCTGTATCTTGCAGCTAACTTTCTGGCTCACTTGGTGCTTACCTGCTCGACGGAATCTTTGGAGACATAGGGGGTATGAATACATTGTGGAGCAAGAAGGGCTATAGCATGATGGATTTGTTTATAGAACTGCTCCACAGCGGCGTACACACTGGTAGAGAGGGAAAATACATCCCAGTCGGAGAAACGAATGAACTGCTGAAAGCATTCCCGCTTTATCTTTTGGGTCGCAACTGGCGCTGTAGAGGCGAGTTTAGTGACCAGTTTAATTTGGAAACTGAGTCGGATCATGTTATGGTTGCTGCCGTGGAGATTGTTTAAGATCTCGGTCTGTGGATTGGGTATCACCAACGTGAATATTAAGTCCACTACATTGGCGGACCTGGTTGGACTGGTAATCTCAAGCTGAGTCTTGGCGTTTTCAAATTGCATCCAAAAACGGAACGCTCATACAATATATATACTGTTGGTTGAGTGATTAATCCAAAATCAGCCCATAGTATAGCAGATGAGTGCACAGTGTAGTGCCACTGGTTGATTTGGTATTGGCCACTCAATGAACAGTAGCATTTAGGGAAGAATATGATTTTGTTAAGGAGGAAGTGCCACCGGCCGACATGAGAGAAAGTACAGCCAAGCCTCAAACTGAAATTTGCAAAATCTGAAATATCTTAGTTTTAAAAAGAGGTAAGGGCGAAGGAAACGGTAGAATCTGGTATGCTGACATAAAAGTTTGAAAATGCAAAATTTCAATTTTATCGCGTCTTTCGTTTGCCAATCGTTTTGACACATCGTCCTGGTGATCCCATTGGCAGTTAAAAGTCACTACTACTGGAAGCGGAACACAATTTCTTCCTGAAGTTCACTACATCTCTTACCTCTTATTGCTTGCACCTGAGATACGCCTAACTCGCTTTTCAAATTGGCTTTATCCAATGGTGTTTTCCGCGCTGCAGTTAGTTTTGGCAATTGCCCGTCTCTTGGTCTATTTGGTATACAAACGATGCAATATTCCAACGCAAAAATCCTGTTTTCGCTAGTACAGCTTTTACTGACAGAATGATCGGAACCAGTTCATGGAGCCGATTGCCAATCCGGTGGCTGCTGTACACCGAAAGAGTATCAACCAAAGTGGCTTCCAAGTAAAAATGTGTGTGGATCACTCTCAAATAGCGGAATGGTGAGCATTCGCAAATGAAACAGCTGTACACCCAAATTACCGGCGGATGGCAAATTAGGTTTTTATAGTCCAACATAGAGTCCAGTCCAAGGTTTTGTAAATTCTCTGTCATCAGCGTCGCCGCACAGCGGTAGTAGGCCTCCAGTTTGCCAGAGCTGTCATTTGCTGGGATGAGCTTCTTTTTGTTTCCTTGATAGAAGATGTTCTGCACCTCATTCAGCCATCTGGAAAGGTGAACGTGAGAAAGTAGACTCACTCGGAATGCCACTGATAATGTAAGATGCATCCGCAAATAGATCAAACGTGGACAATAGAGTAAAGTGCACTGTTTGACAAAAGCTATAATTTACGGATATTTACAGTGGGCCCAAACCAGGGTAGGGCTGATGCTGTTGACTGCGATGGGTCTCTTGGATAACCAGACAGGGTGGTGGTGGCAGTGAGATTACAGGTTGTTTCCAGTTGGTCTAACCTGGCTCGCAAAGGACACCTGAAGGCACCCGAGGAAAGGTATAAGTCACCTGATACGCTGCACTTCCCAGCCCAATGAACTGGGTTGGTTTGGTTTCTAAGTCTGCTCCGCACCTTAGTCGCTAGTTTCAAGTCTGAAGGATTGCGAATTATCAAGCAAAATTGCTCTGGCTGCAAAATATAGCAGCCAACACGAACTAAGCAGAAATAAAGGGATGAAAAACCGTAAGATAAGCTTCCGGTAAAATGGCTCTCGGTGTTACTGCAGTTCCGTTAGAATACCACTTCAATATGGGACCCAAAGAGATCCGTGGTGCACCAACTGTGGCACAAATTGCGAAGCAGAGTGACCTCATTCAGCGCCTTGTGCAGTTCTATGTAACTTATCAGTCGACCAAGTCTGGTATTTGGACATCATGCAAAAAAATTTCAATCCGACGCTTACTGATACAAGTAACAGAAAACGTCGTAAATATTGTATGGCTTTTTTGGCAAATTCCATGGATGCAAGCATAACGGGTTACGGGACAGCATTTCACGGAATGTTCTCACCAAGACAGAAGTGGAATTGGAAGCACCTGAGTGAGGATGCGCTCAATGTGCGTAGTGTATGGTTCCGCAGTCGAACTGCGGGACTCAATAGATATCAACTGTGTCGAATAACTTGTAAGAGAGTAAACATCGCATTGGTGGAACAAGCGATTGACTCATCGGCCTATAAATAAATGGTTTGTGACTTCAAACTCAGTCTTAACCCTTCACGGATACCTTATTGAGTGCATTTTGATTACCTTTGTGATAGCTTTACTGAAGGTGAGAAATTGCGAGTGTCTGGCAGGAATAACATATGAACGGCTCAAGTCACTGCCTGTGAGGCAACGCATCGACACGAACAAAGGTGAAGTTTAAAACAAGAAATTCCCTTTGTTATTCCAAGCACGAAAATCAGAAGCTCTAACCTGTAACATGACTCGGTATTTTCGTACATTCTCAGTAATCCCAAACATACATTGGTAACTCCACCAGTTCAGTTCGGTTGATCGACTAAGATCCGAGCACCGAAGTGCGCTGGATCCAGTTGCCACGACTCACACCTTAAGAATAACGATAACTAACACCGGTAGGATAGTGGGGTTGGATGCAAATAGAATGTGGGGACAATGGAAACAAGAAAGAATTGCGTTAGACTAGTCAGAATGGAACGAAAATTTACAACCAGATGAAAGAAGCTGAATACAGAAACGCCACTGACTTCATGACTGCGCCATATCTGACAGGGTCTCCAAACACTGGTGTGGACCGTCCCAAGGCCCCTATCCAGAAAGACGGAACGCACCAGCCTCTTGGCGAAAAGTACAAATGTGGTCGATGCAATAACGGCCAGAGCGGAAGCCAGGCTGGCTTTCAGTGATTCGGTCCTCACGGGAACCAGTAGGTCGTAGAAGAATAATGTCCGTAAGAAGTGTTGAGGCAATGGAAATAAGACTATTGCGTCTACCACAAACGAGGATATATGGGATCAACAGATGGCCAAGCGGTGCGCTTCGACCTGCCGTCGTTGGTTTAGATACATCGCCAACTGTTTCTGCATACGCTGCAGTGGTCGTTCATGGGCAATAGCAATGGCTTCCATCAGTGTGGGAATGCGGGCGGCCGATGTCACATTAGAACGGTGAATGACTCTGCGGGATTGACTTACTGGCCAGAGCTCAACAAATGCGTTGTCATTGCTAAGGTAGCTTGACTTTTCGATTTACCCGACTCCGCCGTCATAGATCCCATCTAGATTCGTAATATGTTTGGAATGTGTTTATTGGTTTTAACACCCAAACTTCGGTCATTGTGTCCAACATAGCCAACTCTGCAGCTACAGGTACGGTTGTCTAAGCAATGGAACGTGCATTGCCTTATTAAGGGATCTTAATCAATCCCCTTGTCGATGTGAACAACCACACTTCGGCGACATTTTAAGCGTTAGTCAGTGAAGTACTTATTCGTTCCGCGTAGATTTCCAAAATATGGTCACCAGTGAACGGCAGTTCACTAAAGATGGGCATCTTGTAGACGTTTGAGACAATATTTCGCCTGATTGTTTAACTGATTACTAATTACTGGTTGGAAGTAGCAAGTAGAGTTTGCTCTGTGTAGCTGCATCTGATGTCGCTCAGGGACAGACTCGTTATGCTGTGTTGCGCTCAATATATTTTGCGTCGGCAGTGTTTGTCCAGGAACGTCTTAAATTCCGACACCCACTTTGCCTCAACTACGTGTTGCGGCAGGCCGTTCCATACATTCACCACTGCATTCTAAACAGAGTTGGTGAACGACCCGCTTCAAATCCGGTACGACAAGCTTGTACCGGTGTCCTCGTGTGTTGCTTGGTGTACGCAGATGAAGCAGCGGTCTCAACATGGGGTAATCTCCCAGATGTAAAATCCGGTGCGTTATGATGAGGTCAACCCGCATTCCACGATATGCTAGGGTGTACAGCCCTAGTTTCCTACACCGGTCTTCGTACGGCACACCTCGTAAGTTGGGAATCTGCCTGGTGGCTACATGCTGCACTCGCTCAATCTTTTCTACCTCGCCCCGGGTGATAGGACAATACGCGGGAGAAGACGCGCTATATCACAGTTGGCTTGTAAATCATGACGGTCCGAAGCTGTCGCCCGTGGCCCAGTGGCATAAGCTGCTGACTGGCGGTGCAAGCCCCTGGTGGTCATGGGTTCGAGTCCTGATGAATCCGATGGATGCGCACAACTGATAATGCCCAACAGGCTTTATAGATTGCAATGGATAACGGTTGGATCGTTGAGTAATGAACAGCAGATAAATCTCTGCCCCTAGTGTGTCTGCATCGCAAAATCATGTGGGTTTTTGTGTTCTGACAAAGCTGCGTTTGTGTTGTGTCGAAGAGAAACAACATTCAAATACTTGTCTGTTTTGGTTGCACTCCGTAGACTTACTCTTTGATCGAACCATCCGGTCACCGTTTGTAAATGTAATAACAGTACTTGTCTTGTTCGATGTAAAACGATCCTACAAGGTTCAAGTGCATGTTGCTTTGCGTGTTCCAGCTTCATGCAAGACATTCTCATAATCCATGACAAGCAGTATACCGTCAGCATTACGTATGTTTAGAACCGCCGATGTTGTGATATGTGCTTTTTCTTCCAATATGCCCATGAGCACGTCCTTCACTAACGAGCCCATTGGGCTACCCATCAGCGTACCCTGTTAACTGAGCAGGCAACCCTATCCTATCAGCCCGGACATTCGACCATGACGCAAGCCGAAGCTTATTGGACGACCAATGAGAGCGGGCTAATGGTGACGCTTCATCATGAACGCTACCAATGAGGGTGGTCTACCTTGAAGTCCGCCAATGAGCGCTAGGCCATTCCTGTATTGACTATTGATTCGACCCCATGATTTGATTTGTGTACGCTTGCCGGTGTGCAATACAGATTTCGCCTGAGGCCTTCTAAGCTGGAAAGTCAGATTGCGCGGTGACAACAGGTTATATCCGTACAATCAGCGGAAACCACACCACATCCGTTGACCGAAATGTGACAGAAAGACTGAATATTCACATCGTTGGACTTTCCCCACGGTCCCGAATTCCTAGTGAGGTCATCCGGTGATAGCAGGTAGTTGGACAACAATGCAGTCAGATTATGTGAGTAGGCAGCCATTGTAACTAAGGGAGGAGGCAGGCATTCGAAAGGTTGATTGTCTAAGTAGATGGCAACAACACGGTGCTGCTGTAGCCCGTGAATACGATATTCAGAGAGATGTGGGTATCGAAAGGTTAGACGTTGGTAGTGCTTCGGAAAATACTGTTTCGAAGACTAAAAAAATCAGACAGAGCAAAGAATATGAACCACAAGACATACTATACATTTTTACACGCATATTAGCGTATTGTACCAAGCTTTTAGCGTGGTTCATTTTCGAAATAGCGTGCGGTACTTCCAAGTTAGCGAGGCGGAGAACGCTGATTTGGCGTCCTTGACACTCTCATTGGTTATGGGACGTAAACCAATGGGACTTCGGTTAGAATCTGCCAGCATACGCGACAGACAGTCCAATGAAAGTGGTCGAGCACCACCTTCCGTTCTGCCCTGATGCCCCGCTGGAGTAAACCTCGATGATTGGTCTCCAACCTGAAATCGACCAATAGGTAAATTGTGATGCTTGTCAAAGGAGGAGATGCTAGCTACCACACTATCCAAAGCTTAAGACTTAACCAGTGTGGATAGACATACTAACCAGCACATGTAGCGGTCTATGGCGATCACTGGCGGCTACCTAATGGTGGCTTATTCAGCGGCCTAACCATGGTGGCGTAGACAGGCAACCATCTAACTCGTATTCCACAGTACAGCAATGGCTGGTAGGCGGTTAGACAATTGTGTGCGAATGTCATTGCAACGATCATGGGGGACACAGTTCCCACAGAAGTTAGTAGACCAACCTGAAGCTGAACAACGACAATTCTAAGGTTGCTTAATTCGATCACAGTTGACGACTCAACAAAAAATAAGAGGATTCCAAGTGTGGCGCTGACACGACGTCAGTGAGTGTTCGTTTGCATCCATACCCATGGGCGAAATGTTAATCAGTTGTCGCTTCAGTGTCTCTATATTTGGCGTTACGTAAAGGTCATAGGAAGCTATGAATTTATAGGATCATTAGGTTTCACTTCCATATGGTCGCCCATGGTGACGTAGACAGAGAATAATCTCACTGG